CCCCCCCACCCCCACCTGTACCGTGTACCGTGCACCCTGCACCCAGCCATTCAAAAGCGTTTGTGGGCATCTGCATCTCTTTGAACAAGTTCCGTCCTCCTGTGACCTTGATCAGAATACCATTTTCCCGGCACCCCTTTGCCTCCTTCTCCCAGTGGTCTCCGCAGTGACTTGAAGGGGGTTAGGGTGGGCGGAGGACGGCTGACCCACAGTGCTCTGGCCTCTCCCCCCGATTTCAGGCCCGGTTGTTGCAGGCTACCATGAACTATTATGTGGTCACCACTGTGCTTCCCAGGGTGAACGGTAAGAGCTCTGGAGGATGCTTTGTTCTTCCATCCTAGAGGGGGCAGCGGGGCATGGGTGGGGACACTCATAGCTGGTCCCCAGGTTGGGAGTCTGGAAACTCAAATGGCATCTGACTTAGAAAGGGGACAGGGAAAGGGACTCGACATGAGTCCATCCGTTAACTCCTATCCTGCTTACCACGGCCGCCCAAGCATGAGAATTGTCAACCATGCCTGATCATCACGGTAGGCAACAGAAGCACAGAGTGAAGGAACTTCCTCCAGGTCACAGAGCAGGGCACGGGGGAGCTTGGGTTGGATCCCAGCTCTGAAGCCAGGGAGCCTCCTGCTAACCTCTTCAAGCTGGCAAGAGCTTGAGGCAGGCCTGTCCCTAGCTTTGCAGAGCCAGGGACCACATGCAAGTAGAGACCTACTGGCATGACTAGGCTGTTTGGAAATACTGAATAAAGCTCAACCATCTCCCTCCCACAATACAGCGTCCTAGTTACCAGGTTCAAGTTAGAGAGCCTTGGTGCCGTGGTGCGTATGTGTTGAGTTGCTACCTGCAAGGTCAGCAGTTTGAAACTACCAGAAGTTCCTCAGGAGATAGATGAGGCTTTCGATGCTTGTCAAGAGTTACAGCCTCAGAAACCCACAGGGGGCCATTCTACCCTATGTCTTGGTATCTACTAGATGGCAGTGAGTTTTAGTTTTGGTTTTGGTTTGATGGCACATGTTGGGCTACTAACCACGAGGTTAGCAGTTTGAGCCCACAGCTGTTCTACAGGAGAAACGCGAGGCTGTCTGCTTCCATACAGATTGACAGCCTCAGGAACCCACGGACCAGCTCTGCTGTCCATAGGTGGCGATGAGTTGGAAGGGACTGGATGCAGTGAGTTTGGCTCACTGGCGTCCCATGCGAGACATGGCAGTATGAAGGGGGCTGGCCTTTGGTCCACACCCATCTCTGGCTTTGTCCTAATTGCCAAGGGCTTGGTGAGCACCCACGTGGACCCCTCTAATCGCTCTGTCCACTGCCCCGCCACCCTTGGCTGCCACTCAGCACACAGACACCAGCAGCAGAGCCACCCTCCAGAAGGTGGTTGTGGCGAGGAGGCCCACGTAGCCCTGGCGTGGGCTCGAAGACACCAGGGCAGGAAAGCCCCCGGGTGTGCGGAGTGTGGGCAGTAGGCAGAGGTCAGCCCGTGCCAGGACTTACTAGAAGCAGGGCCCGACTCCCTCGCAAGCCTGTGCCCGCCCCTCCCTGGTTCTCACCATTGGTCTCTGTTGCAGAGAGGCTACGGCATGGTGTCCCCCTCCCACTGCCCGCTCAGATCTCGCTCTCCAACCCAGTGCTCCAGCCTCACCAGGTGAGTCCCCAGAGTCCTCTCCACTGAACCACGCCCAACAGCAGCAGCCTTTCGAGTACCCTTACAACCACTCTGGGGTGTGATTAGAGAAGAAGAGATGAAGGCCCAGAAAGGTTTGTTCACATGACCAAAGACACAGAGCAGCTAAATGAAGCTCACCTCGACTCAGGCTCCCTGCTGCTTTCCATCGGCGGCCTTGCTCCCACACCTCACTTGGAACTCCCTTGGTGGCCAGAGAGTCCCACTGAGGCTGGCACGTGATACCCATTGCACCTGGAACCACAGAGGGGCATCATAGATGTTTGCCAGCCATTGAATGGTGTCCACCTTCTAAAGGAATTCTTTGGGTCTTGACTGTCTCCCCCATGGCTTCACCCGACCACTGACCAGCTGGGGTTCTCCAGGGGACCATCAACTCACCTTGGGCGCCGGTGCTTTCTTTACGCCCCCCACTGTCCGCCGATGCTCCCGGCCTCTGCTTTCTTCACAACATCTGCCAGCTTCCTCAGTGCCCCCACAACAGGACCTCTGGACCCAGCATGTCCCAGAGGAGCTGGTGTCCCTGCAGAAAAACCATCACCGGCCGTTGGTTCCTGACTTGGACTTCCCTGTAGCCCTCCCTGTGGCCTTCCTGGGACTGCCTAGGATTCGGCCCTCTGGTGCCACCCGTCCCCTCCCCACCAAGTCCAGACCCTCCTACCCCAGCAATCTAGACCAGGGAGCCAATGAGCTGAGAAGTTATAGAACAATCGCCGAGGAGGCAGAGGAAGCACATCTTCCAGGGCCCCCGAGTTTCACCAAGTTCATCCCTTTCAAAAACCACAGCCACCACCACCTTCCATCCTCTGGCACTATTTGCATTCTGGAACTAAGGGAAGTGGCTTTGATGAGCATCAGGGCTCCCTGGAGCTGCCACAAGCCAGGGATGACAAAGAAGGCTCCAGCCCAGCCCAGGGGTCTCTCCCCCCACCTCCCTCCCTTTCCCTGTGCTCCTGCCCACCCCTGCCTCTCTGTCAGCACTCAGACCTCATTTGTTCTCGCCTTCCCCAACGGCAACCCCCCAGGGTCTCTGTGTTTGGAGCCCAGCATCCCCCCACTCACAGAGAAGGGGTGCACTTCCCACTGGTGAAGCCATCCTCTTCTCTCCCCAGGGGTTCCTGCTGTTGGGGGCAAACCTTCACTCTGGCTAACTAGCCGCACAGAGAGGAAGGGGCTGCCAGCCTCCACGCTAAGGACCTGCAGACCCTGCCCGGACCTCCCGGAGGCTTCCAGGACTCTTCAACGGGTCGAGCTGCACAGTCTTTGCCACCAGCAGCGCACGGCTGTCAGTTATAACCACCGTCTTACAGAATAAACACACACACCCCAACTTCTGGGTTTCCGTTTGGCTTGGTTTTCTTGCAGCATTCGGAGTGCTAGCAGTTGTTCTGTATGTTTGCGTTCATTCGTTCAAGCACGGGCTCTTTTTCCCAGTGTGGCCGGCAGTGCAAATCTAGACTACAGGTCCACAGTGAGAATCCCCTCATTTGCCAGCCCTCTAGTTAATCCCGTGAGCCTCCACCTGGCCGTATCAGTAGATGGAGGTGCGTGCATCTTGCTGCCAAATCTCAGGAGAGCTGCTTCGTGGAGCCCGCCGGCTCACTGAGTGGCTGTTCCTGCTGCTGCCGCACGGTGGCGCTTTCGAACGGTGAGTCCGGCGCGGGCCCCCGTGGTCGCCCCGGGGAGACCCTTAGCCCTTGTCGCCCGCCCCCTCAGTGTTGCTGCTGCAAGGATCTGCCGCACAGCCGTCTCCCCTGCTCCACACGCGGACTCCACGTTCTCGGACACAGCCACTGTGCCCAAAGCAGAACTCTGGGCCAGGGGACAGATGCTTTAATGACACCCTTGGCCCTTTTCAGTGGCTCTTCGGGCGCCGACTCTCTTTGGGCTTTTGGTGTGTCTCCTGGGGGTGGGGGGTGGGGGTGGGGGTAGGGGCTGGTGTGGTATCCCTCCATGGAGCCTCAGATGGGGTTTGTGCAAACCCCGCTCCTTGAAGTGGAGATGGAAAGACATCATCTCACTTAACTTTGGCCACGTCACCAGGAAAAACAAACACAGTCACTCGAACAGGGCACCATACGTGGTAACGCAGACGGTTGACACCCAAGGGGGGATCCCTCAGCAGTGAGAGGGCTTCACAAGGGGCTGGCACGTATCAATGTCACACAGATGTCACAGGGCCTGGCCACCTGCTGCTCTGTTCCACACAAACCTGAGCCGACTCAGGGACAAGGGGCAGCATTGATTCACGTGGGCGCTGCGGTGGGTCGTGGAGGGTGGCATTTGGGGCTGAGGCCAAGCAGAATGAGCCACCAGACCAGAGGGGGGGAAGGAGGAGATGCAGAGTGGGGTGGCGTGACCAGATTTTGCTTTAAAGAGAATGTACGGAGACTTGTGAGAGAACTGGAGAAAGCCAGGTGGAAGGGGACAAGCACAAATTAGAAATCTGTGGGTGCTGCCCTTCAGAGGTCAGCCCGGTGGTGGTGGTTAAAAAAAAGGGGGGGGGACACAAAGCATTCATAACAAGGAAAGGCAGATGAAAGGCTTTGCTGGTTGGTTTTTGTTTTAAGGGGAATTGTCCACGGCTCTGTCAACATGATTGATTTCCTGCTCCATGGAGGTAAAGACCCTGGAGCTACATGGGAAGGCAAGGGCCCATTTCATCCTCACCGAATCTGCACGGCACCCCTCATTCCCCAAAGACGGGATTGTTAGCCCTGCTTACTGAGTCAATTTCCCGGATCCCAGCACAGCAGGCGCTGGCTGAGCTGGGATTGGCACTCGTCACCAGAGCCCATGCCCTTTCCATCCTCCGAGAGGTCGAAATCTCGTCTGTTTGGCTTATTCGAGGCACAGCATCCGACGGAAGTCCCAAACTGCACAATGAAAAAAAAAAAAAAGAGGGCAGAACTGATATATTTGAATGGTGCTCTTGACAGAGAATATTAAATATACCAAGCAGGGACAGCCAGAAGGGTGAATGCATCGTCTTGGTAGCTGTACGGTGCTGTCACGTTGTCTCTGACTGATAGCCTCCCCGTGGACGGCAGAAGGAAACACCGCCCAGTCCCGAGCCATGTGCACAGCGTTGTGCTTGAACCTGTGCTTGCAGCCACGGTGTTGATCCATCTCCTTGAGGGTCGTCCCCCGCTGATAAAATGCCACATTGGTGAGACCAAGCCTCTCCATCCTTGCTTCCCAGAAGCATTCTGGACGAACTGCCTCCCAGACAGATTTGCTTGTTCTTCGGCAGCCGGTGTTCCTTTGGCAATTCTTTGCCAACAGCATTGTTCCAAGGCACCGATTCTGCTCTGGTTTTCCTTACTCATTGTTCAGCTTTCCAGGCATCTGAGTCCATGGAAAGTATCCTGGCCGGGGCTAGGCAACCCTCTGAGTCCTCAGTGTGACCTCTGTGTCCTTGACCATTTTAAAGAAGGTCTTGCGCGGGAGAGGTGCCCAATGTAGTCACTGAAAACAACCAAACTCACAGCCGCTGCATCAACTCTGACTCATGGCCACGATCCACAAGGTCATCAGTTTGAAACCACCAGCTACTTCGCGGGATAAAGGTGAGGCTTTCGGCTCCTGTAAGATTTACAGCCTCAGAAACCCACAGGGTCAGCTCTGATCTGTCCTACGGAGTCATCGTGAGCCCAATGTAATACATCATTTGATTTCTTAACTGGAATTATCTTTAGAAGTGAGGACAGGCTCTTACTTGGACAGGCTGTTGTTGTTGCTCTTGTTGTTGTTAGGTGCCGTCAAGTCAGTTGTGAGTCGTAGCGACCTGATGCATAGCAAAACGAACCATGGCCTGGTCCTGCACCATTGTCACAACTCTTCCCGTGCTCGAGCCTATTGTTGCAGCCACAATGTCCACCGTCCCCCTGAGAGCCTTCTTCTGTATTGCTTCCCTTCTATTTTACCAACCATGCCATCCTTCTCCAGGGAATGGTCTCTCCTGACAACATGTGTGTAAGACAAGTCGCACCATCCTTGCCTCGAAGAAGCACTCTGCCTGGATTTCTTCAGACAGGTTGGTTGTCCTTTTAGCAGGCCACGGTAGTTTGAATATTCTTCCCCAGCACCACAATTCAAAAGCATCGATTCTTCTACGGGCTTTATTCAATGTCCACTTTTCACAGGCATATAAGGCAATTGAAAATAACCTGACTTGGTTCAAACTCAATACTTGGTCAACTGACCTCCCTATAGATCTGACCTCCATTTGTTCTGGGTGCAAGTCTCTCTTACTTGTTCCACGATAGAAGTTTCTTCCCTGCTGTTTGAATGTTGGCGGGGGTTCTTTTCTTTCTGACTCATTACTTGTATTGTTGTCTTTATATTATTATTATTTTATCCTTACCACCTTAGTTCGATTTTGTTTCTTATTGTTTCGGTTGGGTTTCCCAGTTTATGAAGCACAGGAGATGCTAGTGGATGCACAGTGATGATAACTGATACAACGGTTGACAGGGGATGCAGGGGCAGGTGGTCGGGAGAGAAAGGGAATTTCAGGAGTAGATAACGAAGGCGAGGGGGGAGAGGGAGCACTAGAACTGACTGGAAATGCACACCTCATTTAAAAAGCTATTTAACCATGCGAGGGGGTGGAGGAAATGTTCTAAAATTGTTGTGGTAATGATTGTGCAATTCTCCTTAATATCATTGACTAATTAGAATTGTAGTAAATTATGTGCCAATAAAACTGTTGGGGGGGTGGGATACATGGCTCGGATCAGGTGCACCTTAATCCTCAAAGTTAACATCCTTGCTTTTCAATACTCTAAAGAGGTCTTATGGAACAGATTTACCTATGTGATGTATTTTGGGATCTCTTGACTGCGCCTCCATGAACATTGACAGTGGATCCAAGCAAGACGAAACCCTTGACAACTTCAATCTTTTCTCCATTTATCATGATGTTGCCGATTGGTTTAGTAGTGAGGATTTGGGTCTTCTTTACATTAAATTGTAATCCATACCGAAATCGACAATCCTTGACCTTCATCAGCAAGTGCTTCTAGTCTTCCTCACTTTCAGCAAGCAAAGTTGTGTCATCTGCATATCACAGGTTGTTAATAAACCTTCCTCCAATCCTGATGCCATCCTCTCTTCATATCATGCAGATTCTCGGATAATTTGCTTGGCATACAGATTGAATAAATATGGGGAGAGGATGCAACCCTGATGCCCGTCTTTCCTGATTTTAAACCATGCAGTATTCCTTTGTTCTGTTCACATAACTGCCTCTTGATTCATGTGCAAGTTTCATATTAGGTCAATGAAGTGTTCTGGAATTCCCATGTTTCTCAAGGTTACCCACAGTTTGTTATGATGTGCGCTGTCCAATGCCCTGGCATAGTCAATAAAATACAAGTAAACATCTTTCTGGTTTTCTCTGCATTCACCCAAGATCCATCTAACCCCAGCAATGATATTCCTTATTCCCTGCCCTCTTCTGAACCAATGTCAGCTCACTGTCAATGTCCTGCTGCAACGATTACCAGATGATCTTCAGCAACATTTTATTTGAATGTGATATCAATGATATTGTTCTATCATTTGAGCATTCTGAGGGCTCACCTTTCTTTGGAATGGGTACAAATATGGACCTCTTCCAGTCAGTTGGCCAAGTAGCTGTATTCCACATTTCCTAGCATAGATAAATGAATGCTTCCAGTGCTTCATGAGCTTGTTGAAAGACCAATCCCTAGAAAAGACCTTGATGTTTGGTAAAAGAGAGCCAGGTAAGACAAGGAAAGCCCTCAGTGAGATGGATTGACACAACAGATGGATTGACACAACAGAAAACCCTCAACAGATGGATTGACACAACAGACACAACAGACAAGGAAAGCCCTCAAGGAGATGGATTGACACAACAGATAGCCACATCGGTGGACTTAAACATATCAAAGATCACTAAAATGGCATCAGATCAGCCAACGTTTTGTTCTGTTATATATCAGGCACCAGGAGAGTCAGCGCTAACTCAACAGCACCTAAGGGTGTATTCAAGACAGGACTGCTGGGTGCACTTACATTAAGTGGGGCACTGGAAAAAAGTACCAACTAGGGGGAATAAAACTCTTTCTTGCTTGTCCACCAGCAAGGTGAGCCTTTTCCTGGTTTGCACAAAAGTTAGCAAAAGTCCTGAATAGGAAGGAAAAAAGTGCCCAGGGAAACGGGAGGGAAGGTGGCGTGATGGAGCACAGCCCGCGTTGAGGCTGAGTGGCCGTGAAGGCTATTAAGGACTCTGGGTTTTGTTCCAAACGCTGTGGGAAGCCACTGGAGA